CACACAATGTACCCATGTGGGGAATCGAACCCGGATCTTCGGCATGACGAGCGAACACTTTAACCACTAGGCTACCCCACCGCCCCCTGACCATACACTAGCTTACCACTATACCGAATGGGACTTCGTGGAGACCGTTAGAATTAGTCTTCAGCAACCTTTGCTGGTCCTTAGGAGACGATAGGGTGGTCAGGATCGCTGACCTGGTTGATGCATGTCTTGACCGTATCCCAAATACAAGGATAGATGCTCGTTGTGTCGATCACTGGATTGTCCGATTCAGACTCGATTATGTACGGTTTTGGTTTGGTTTGTTTGTTGTTTAACGCCGCACTCAGCAATATCCCAGCAATATGGCGGCGGAATATTGCAGACTGTGATGTTAAACAAACAAAAAACAAACAAAATCAAACAATTGGTTGACCATTGTTTTCGCAAGCTAGACCCGTTTGCGCGAAGACGTAACCAAGCTTACCGCATGATGGCTCGAGTCGCCATTCAACAAACAATAACGAAGGTAATTGCGACCAGAACATGAAGTAGTTATGTTGACATCGGGAGTGGATCAATGATTAGTGATCTATCGACGTCGACACACGCATGGCTAGTGATGTACTCCGTAGTCTGGCAGTGATTGATGAACGTGCTCCACGTTTCCGTGTCACCGGCGTGCGGTGGGGAAATGTACAAAAAAACAGACATAAAATACTGTGTGACCTCTGGCTACTACATGTCCCGAGACTATTGCTTCATTACACAGCTTCACATCGTTTATTGACCCTTGAAGATCCGGGCTAGAATTGATCTTCAGCAACCCATGTTTGACGTAAGAGGCGACTAACGGGATCGGTGGTCAGGCTCACTGACTTTGTTGACACATGTCACCGTATCCCAGTTGCGTAGATCGATGACCATGTTGTTGGTCACTGGATTGCCTGGTCCAGATACACAGGCAAACTGTAGCGCAAATAGGGTTGCGCAACGAAGAGAAAATTACCAGTCTACCTATATGCGAGCGAAGCAAACTGTAGCGCAAATAGGGTTGCGCAAATGTTTCACTGTGTTGCGCAACCCTGTTTGCGCTACAGCCTTTGGTCGATACAAATGGAAAGAGTAACAGAAAACACTTGATGTAACTGATATTCAAGCCCTAAACGCCGACTTCCGCGGTTTCGCAAACCCAGGCCCCGTCCCACAAAGCGAAGGCGCCAAGGTGATTGTAGAACCCATACTTTAAAGTAGGCTCACGATCATCATAGCGCCAAGACTAGTTTGTCTGGTTTGTCTCACAGTCCCTGAACCACATTATTTCCCCTAATGCATAGCCCTCCCTGCAATGCTACAGCCCTATATGAAGCAAGTCTGATTCTCCCATCTAACTGGGGCTCCTTTTCAATATAAAAGGAATTGTTTGTTTCTATCAAAATTATATATATATATATATTCATAGACTAAGCGTGAGTCTACGCTGAGACGGGTTTCAGGCGTATAACAATAGGGTCAATCAGGGTAGTTGGGGTTTGGTGTAATCAGTGTTGTGTGTTCGATAACATCATCTGTACCCACTAGTGGTGGTCCGATTAATTGAAATAATCGAAGATTGGTCGCAGTGACGAAACGACCAAGCAATCGATCATGTTTTCTCATAATCGAACACAAACAATTCTGGAACACTTGTTTTCATTAACAATATTTTTCACACGGTGGTTTTATCTGTTACATTCCATGAGTACTACAAGCTCGTTCCAAGTCATGATTGAATTTATCTTAAAGACCCCAAGAAAGTTATGTTCCTAACATACTAGTTATCCTTTCAAGATGTGAAATTTGCCCAAAAAACCCCAAAGATCTACATGTTTTTTCTTTATGTTTTTGTGCATTAACAAAAATAACCAGGACAAATTCATAAACGACGCTAACCAATTATTTTCGATGATTGATCGGTTGTAATGAAGCAATCATCAATTAGGAGATTTTAACCAATTCCAAACACTAGTACCCACCATTATATAGTGAAGGTTGTGGACAGTGACAGTCAATAATCTTTAGGTCTCCAGCAAGAACCACATTTGATGAAAAGTCAATCGTTGATTCTAATGAGTGGTCAAAACCAATATGATATAGGGGTGCCGGGTGGTGTAACGCACAGTAACAAGCTCTTTGAGGTACTGTGAGTGAGTTTGGTTACGACGCTTTTAGCAATATCACAGCGGGGGGGCACCAGAAATGGGCTTCACACATTGTAACTATGTGGAGAATCAAACCCGGGCCTTCGGCGTGACGAGCCAACGCCTTAACCACTAGGCTATGCCACCAACCCCTTTTAAGGTGGATGTAAACGAATCTACATTATTTAATGATTGTGTTCTCTGTTCGGACCGCAAGGCCACACTAAATCAATTCCTGTCCCTTCTAACTGGGGCACACAAACTATTTATCCGATGATTTCATTAACAGATGCATCAAAATGTTTCTCAGTGAGACATAGGTCATCAAATTCAGAAATGTTTTCAGGAATTTTGGTTAATTTATGTCTGACTTCTACTGTTTAAATGAAATATTGTGTTTATTATTACCTATACTGGAATTAATGGACTGGTCCAGGATTTGGCTCGATATCACCACACACAATGAGTAACAATTATTGGATTCCAACCACGTTTGCTGGTCTACATACTGCTTAAAGTATACTCAGATACAACACTAAACATTCAATGGATATCGGCATCTGTTCATGCATCTGTCGTGGAGATTATGGATACTATTACTAAGGATAACATAGAGAACTTGTATACGTTTTTCTGATATTTAGGTAAGTAGGACTGCATTTATATTAATCAGAATTCTCGAGTTCCGTATGGCATTATATCCGTCGTGATTTTAATTTGGTAACATCAAAGACAAGTACTTAGAGCGACGATAGGTTTACTGTCCTGTGATTCCTCTGCAGTGCTGAGAACAATGTTATTTCATCGTAATAACGGGTAACTGCGGTTATAGCGGTTGTTTCCTAAATGAGACGCTTGATGGAATTGGGGCAATTTGTTTGAATATGACCTCCTGGTGTCTGTGTAAATTAAATAATGCTCTAGTAATGAACAATTAAGTATTTCAACACATACACAAACCGAAACATGAGTCTCATTAACCTATTCAGACAATGACCTACTTTTCAGCCGATCCGAAATTTCTCTTGTGAAAGTAAAAATAGACACCACAAACAACTATGGTTACACTGAATTCCAATTCCTTGTGTCATTAGAAAATGGTATTTACAAATGAATTTTAATTTTAAACTTTAATAACATCGATTTCTATATTTTATAATGAGGTGTAGGCAGCATGACCTTAACTAAGACATCACAGACTGCCCCTGTTTGATGAGGTCGTAAAATGATTCATAATTCATCTGACTCACTGGTTACACCTGTTATGTGTTCTTTGTGCTTATTCAGTGTAGTTTGGTAACGCACAATGTGATTGATATAATATCAACGTACCAGACCGCCAAACTTTTCTAGCGGCAGAACCTCGTTTTGAGATTTCCACGATTTCCAGATTTCCGTTTGTCAGAGCACGCTGTACGACAGAGCACGCTGCACGACGTGTTTGCAAGTATTAGAAGGAGCGTAGTGTTGCAATACATAAGTGCTTAGATGTATCAAATAATCCTGATTAATATTTATATATCCTCTTGAATGAACTGGTCTCAAAATTCTGGACTACGTTATTGTACTACGTTGCGCACCAGGACGGAACCCAGTCATCAGGAAACGAGACTGTTGTGTAATCAATGTTTTGACTTGGCTTTAATGTCCACCTACGTTTAAATGCGAACAGCTGGATATTAGTGAGTGAGTGAGATAGTGAGTGAGTATGGTTTTACGCCGCTTTTAGCAATATTCCATCAACATCGACCAAAAATGGTCTTCACACATTGTACCCATGTTTGGAATCGAACCCGAGCCTTAGGCGTGAAGAGCGAACGCTTTAACCACTAGGCTACCCCACTGCCCCCTGAATTATAAAGAGGGTTAGTTCCGTCCATCAATTTTCAAAATATAACCTTATTCATCAGATATTGAAACAGGTAAACATGAATTGTTAGGACAGTTTGTTAGCCAGAATAGAACGGATTTATGAATTAATTTTACGACCATTTCGGTGAAATCCATTGCAGAAATGAAAGTCATAATGGATGTCTCAAGACCTGGAAATACGCACACTTAAATTACTAAAAGTTTCGGTCTGTAAAATCGATTACAAAAGTGGATGTAGATATACCGACATATAATAGACAACGCCGTATTGATTTGTGAATTAGATTGTGAAATGTCGAATTTCTTAACATGTAGTATTACATTAAAGCTTTGTGAAACAGCACGAAATTAAATGTCAGATATCTTAAGACCTACTCGGTAATTGTAATAGCAATATCATTCGACAAATATATATGTCAAGTTTATTAACACGGAGAATAGCTTACATTATATATTGGTTTGTCAAATATATTGAAAAGTTAAATGTGACCTTCATAAACGATTCATATGTCTGTAAACTAAATCGGGTTATAAAACAGATTACAAAAGTAGATATATATGAAATATATATCAAATCTCATGAAAACGTCCAGAATGATTATAGAGGCATATTATTTGCCATATGAATTAGACAATTACATTCCCTAATCTCAAACTCAATCTCAACTCCCACAGATGTCAACAACATATTCTCACGATCCGATGGAAATAAAAAATATTTTCCACAGACCTCGATCAATACAAATGAAAGACACAAACAGGATTAATAAATCAAGCAAACGACGAAACCAGGCGTATCTGTCTGTTAATGGCTGTAAAAGTCTCACATCACCAAACTATTATAGTGATCAAGATATCTTGCTACAGGCCGATTTGTGTCACACCAGTAGGTCACGCATCACGTACAGCTTTGTCACTGACATCGTCTAATATAGACCGCAGGTATTAGAAGTATGTAATAGGATGGATAGCAGCTGAACCCGAACTGTCAGGCGTAGCGTGACAGGGTCGCCCTCACTACTGTCGACGCTGTGTCCAATGACAGCAGTGTACGTTGTGCACGGCGCGGCCGCGACCTCTACTACTGGATCGCTGTATTCACTAGCCGCGTCGCTACTGTGAGTATCTTGACTTTCTTTCTCAGTCATGCCCCGAGGAAACATGTTTCCGTGGCGTTTCGTAGATCCTTTGGGGCGTTTCTTCACCGAATGTTGAATCTGTATGGATGTTTCTTAACTCAGTTCTTAGAATTTGGTTTGTATGTTGATTAAGAATGCGTTGAAATAGCATGTGATTGATGTAGTCTTTGAACGGCAATTGATACACATAAAGACGAGAATTTATGGATGTCAGCTTCTTTATTTTGATCGACACGACGTTTCGGAGAATATTCTTACTCTCTGTTCATATATAGCTGTTTGTTTCCTAGTCTTTTATTCACCGGATGAAGAAGTTGACATCTTTTATTCACCTGGTGAAGACATTGACATCTTTTATTCACCGGATGAAGAAGTTGACATCCATAAATTCTCGCCTTTATGTGGTTGATACGTTTCACATAGCCTATATGGTTTGTTTCCTAGTTTTCTATGACCTTAACCTTATTGTTTATTGTTCTGCTTATGAATTTAATGGTTGGACGATGTAGCTTCAATACTATGTTACTGAGAAACTGTCGACACGATGCTAGGTCTCAGTTCACTGACTCGCTCTTCGATCGTTGGATGTTGTAAACTGTTATGTATCACAGCCGTGTAACATCCGTCTTTCCATTGTGATTTGAGTAAATACTACTTCTTTCACGTGAGAGCAAACATCTTCTACATAACTGAACATATTATTAATAACCGCGTTGACATTTGTATTGTGTTGCTCTCGTAGTAGTATTTTGTTTGATTTTAAGCGGAGTGACCGACCCAGTGGTCTAAGATCACCGGTGTACAGGAAACCTGTGATCGTGGTCGATAATGTTTCAAGGTTTGTCGGTACCGTGAGTTTCCTTAAAGCGGTATACTCGTGGGACCGGCGTCTCAAACACTAAGATACTATTAAGCCAAACTGACTCTGTCCTTCCATTCTTTGGCCTGATTTAAATCAAAGTATTCTCTTTGATTTACATGCAAGAGGCTCTATCGCTCGTGTAGATCCATGCCCATGCTGATCACTGGATTGTCTGGTCCAGACTCGATTATTTCCAGACCGTCGCCATATAGCTGGAATATTGCTGAGAGCTGCGTTAAACAATAGCAGACAAACACAACTCTATCGTTCGCAAGGCTATGATAGTGTTCCTGGTTTAGAGATATTCGGCATTTCACCCTGTATTTGCAAAACTATTAACTTACGTCATTGTTAACAAACTGAAACATGAGTCTCATTAACCTATTCAGACAATGACCTACTTTTCAGCCGATCCGAATTTTCTCGTGTGAAAGTGAAAATAGACATCACAAACAACTATGGTTACACTGAATTCCAATTCTTTGATTTATAAGAAAATGGTATTTACAAATGAAGTTTTATTTTAAACTTTAATAACATCGTATTTCTATATTTTATGGCGAGGTGTAGGCAGGATGACCTTAACTAAGACGTCACAGACTGCCCCAGTTTGATGAGGTCGTAAAATGATTCACAATGTATCTGGCTCATAGGTTACACCTGTTATGTGTTTTTTACTCTTATTCCATGTATTTCAGTAACGCACAATGTGATTGATATAATATCAAGTCTGTACCAGACCGCCAAACTTTTCTAGCGGCAGAGCCTCGTTGTGAGATTTCCACGATTTCCAGGTTTCTGTTTGTCAGTGCTCGCTGTACGACAGCGCACGCTGCGCGACATGTTTGCAAGAATTATAAGGAGCATAGTGTTGCAATAAACAAGTGCTTAGATGTATCAAATAATACTGATTAATATTTATGTATCCAGTTAAATGAAATGGTCTCAAAATTCTGGACTGGTTATTGTACTAAGTAGCGCAATAGGACGGAACCCAGTCAGCAGGAAACGAGACTGTTGTGTAATCAATGTTTTGACTTGTACCAGCATCTGTTCCAGTACTGCCACCAGTATTCCAGGATTCATATCATATCAGTATCTACATATCAGTATCTACTATCCATATCAGTATCTACTATCCATATCAGTATCTACTATCCATATCAGTATCTACTATCCATATCAGTATCTACTATCCATATCAGTATCTACTATCCATATTATCAATATCGGTATAAACGCCATATTCATAAACGCCAGTTCACGCATTAGTCAATTACGTTTTCTTCCATCCATTTTCAGTATTCATCAGTATTAACAACAGTATTGACATCGGCATTCACACTCAGTATTCACATCCATATTCGCGGCAGTGTTGTTGTGGGCATTCACATCCATATTCGCGGCGGTGTTGTTGTGGGCATTCACACTTACGATTTATGGGTACCAGTTTGAAGCCCATTTCTGGTGTCCCCGCCGTGATGTTGCTGGAATATTGCTAAAAGCGGCGTAAACCAAACTCAGTTCATATCATATCATTATACACCACTCTTGTCTTCAGTACTATCGTCACATTAGAGAGATATGTACATTAGTAGCATCATAGAATAGAATAATACTTTGGGGCATGCCTTTTCAGGAATTTGTGTTACATCAGCAGAGCTACTGACACATTAGAGAGATACCAAACATATTTACATAAATTCTTTGATTTCATACATTAGTATTGCATCAGTATCCAAACCAGTATTGACACAGGTATTGGTATTAGTATTCACACCATTATTGGGAGCAGCATTGACATCACTATTCACAACAGTACTGGCACCAGTATTCACAAAAGTATTGACATCAGTATGCACAACAGAATTGACCAAAGTAGGTTTATTAGTATTCACACCATTATTGGGAGCAGCATTGACATCACTATTCACAACAGTACGGGCACCAGTATTCACAAAAGTATTGACATCAGTATTCACACCAGGATTCTCACAAGTATTGGTATTAGTAGTCACGAGTATTTGGAGCAGTATTGGCACCAGTATTGTCTTCAGTACTCACGTCAGTATGTACATTAGTATTTGTATCAGTATCTAAACCAGTATTAACACAAGTATTGACCAAAGTATTCATACAAGTATTGACAACAGTATTCACGTCACAATAGACACCGGTATTAACACAGTGCTGACGTCAGTATCCACATAATAAAAAGATCAGTATATATTTCAGTATGTAGTACATTAGATGTGCATGTTATTGATAAACACGGCCAGTAATTGCTCCACTTAGCATGACTGTGTTGACATACACGTTGGTCGTGTTGTACTGACCCGGAACGCACCCGGTACTGCTCAGTTCAACTGAACCTACTCGTTAATGCTTTAAATGAACAACAGCAGGTGAACAGAATATAGGGCAGATCCAAAGGCTCGGTAGCTCACCTAACAAGTTTTCTTACCCGCGAACCATGCTGTTTCCCACCCGACCCGCCTTATCTGTAATACATATTGCCGATGTGACGTTAAATATTAACTCACTCACTATCTGTAATACAAAAGCCATAAATGAAGTAATTCAGGAATTCCTCTGAATCACCCATCTCATTGGGTTCCTTTTAAATTTGAATCAAATCCTTTGTTTCCATCAAAATTATATATACTGGACAAAATAAGTCAGGGGTATTGGTATTTTTATGATTGATATTTTATCAGTGTGTCAATGAATAAAGAGATCATTATTCATAATTTCAAAATTTACATATATCCCTAACTATTTTTGCCCAGTATATTTTCAGAGGCTAAATGTTATATTGTAATTTACATAATGAAGTGTTTGGGATCTTAACAATTTTGACGGGATAGTTGTTGTAGTGAAAATTGAGCCCATAATTTCGCAACATAACCCCTGAAATATTCAACATTCCCAACCTTTAGTGTTCAGTATATATTGGCAAGTGGGTAGGTTCAGCACAGAAACATGGGTGAGTGAGTGAGTTTAGTTTTAGCTATATTCCAGCAATATCAGGGCGGGGGACACCAGAAATAGGCTTCACACATTGAACCCATGTGGGGAATCGAGCGGGTGTTGGGTGTGACGAGCGAACACTTTAACCACAAGGCTACCCCACCACCCCCGAGGGCGGGAGAACAATTAAACATGGCGTGTGTGAGTGAGTGAGTATGGAATTACGCCGCTTTTAACAATATTCCAGCAACATCACGGCGGGGGACACCAGATATTGTCCCCATGTGCGGAATCGAACGGGTGTTCGGTGTGACGAGCGAACACTTTAACCACAAGGCTACCCACCTCCCCTCACCAAAACCTTCGTGTGCCCCGTTTACCAGTTCCTAGTAGATACGTGAGGTGAGGTGAAATTGGGTTTAACGTCGTGCTTGAGAATATTTCGCTCATATGACGACGTGCATGCGTGTGTATGTGTATGTGCGGCTGCTTGTACTAGCCCAGACTGAAGCTGTTTTTATAGTGCTAGCCCACTGAGATACCATGCCGCAGTGAAGCATGAATACCCCTCTCAGACACATTATACTGACTCCGAGCCGACCAGTCCTTGTTGTACCTATTAATGCCGAGCGCCAGACAGGGACCAACAAGTACCATATTTTAAAGTCTTTTGGTATGACGCGGTCGGGGATCGAACCCGCGACCTTCCGCTCTCCGGGCGGACGCTCTAACCATTACACCAAGGAGGCGGTAGTAGATACGTATTGCCACAAGGTAACAGAGGATAACCCGAACGCCGTTCTATACAGTGGTTATCACATTTTCACGATTGTGAACTGAATTAGTCGCTCTGTTTCAAAACAAACGTCCCATCATCCACCATTATTGATGGACAATGAAGTCACCAACCAATTATCTGAACAGTTTAATATCGTTCAGCGCTACAGGTGCTTTGAAGAATCTGCCTTGTATAATACAACTTCCTTGAAGACCTGGGTTAGTATTGATCTTCAGCAGTACATGCTTTTCGTAAGGGTTTGTCCTAAATGGCCTCTAACGGGATCAGGTGGTCAGGCTCGCTGTCTTGATTAATGCATGTCATGTTATCCCATTTGCGTAGATCGATGCTTATTATGGCACTTGCTGG